TTGCCTTGCCTTTTGCCTTGCCTTGCCTTGCCTTGCCTTGCCTTGCCTTGCCTTACTTGGGGTGGTTACTAGAGCAGTTGCTAGCGTACCCAGGATTGGTTGCTAGGGTTTTGCTGTGCGGCTGCTAGGGTATGCAGGGCAGTTGCTAGGGTGTTGCTATGTGGTTGCTAGGGTACCCAGGGAGGTTGCTTTGTGGATGATATGTGGTTGCTAAGGTACCTGGGGTGGTTGCAATTGTGTTGCTATGTGATTGCTATGGTACCCGGGGTGGTTGCTAGGATGTTGCTTTGCGGTTGCAAGGGTTCCCGGGGCGGTTGCTAAGGTGTTGCTATGCGGTTGCTAAGGTAGTCGGGGTGGTTGCTAGGGTTTTGCTATGTATTTGCTACGCTACCCAGGGTGGTTGCTAAGGTGTTGCTCTGTGGATGCTAAGGTACTCGGGACGGTTGCTAAGGTGTTGCTATGCGGTTGCTAAGGTAGTCGGGGTGGTTGCTAGGGTTTTGCTATGTATTTGCTACGCTACCCAGGGTGGTTGCTAAGGGGTTGCTCTGTGGATGCTAAGGTACTCGGGACGGTTGCTAAGGTGTTGCTATGCGGTTGCTAAGGCAGTCGGGCGGTTGCTAGGGTGTTGCTATGTGGATATTAGGGTACTCGGGTGGTTGCTAAGGTGTTGTAATGCGGTTGCTAAGATACTTGGGGTGGTTGATTTGGATAGTTGGTAGAGTCTTGCTATGGAGATAGATAGATAGATAGATAGATAGATGCAGCTGCTAGAATACCCCTGTGGTTGCTAAGGTGTTGCTATGTGGATGCTAGCGTACCCGGGGTTGTTGCTAAGGTGTTGCTATGTGGATGCTAGGGTACCCGGGTGTGGTTGATAAATTGTTCTTATGCAGTTGCTAAGGTACTTGGGGTGGTTGCTAGGTTGGTTTGGATAGTTGCTTGAGTGTTGCTATGAAGATAGATAGATAGATAGATAGATGGATAGAAATAGTCAGATGATAGATAGATAGATAGATAGATAGATAGATAGATGGATAGATAGATAGATGCAGCTAAGGTGTTGCTATGCGGTTGCTAATTACTTGGGGTGGATGCTAGGTTGGTTTGGATAGTTGCTAGAGTGCTGCAATGAAGATAGATAGATAGTTAGATAGATAGATAGATAGATAGATAGATAGATAGATAGAGATAGATTGATAGATAGATAGATAGATCGATTCATAGATCGATAGATAGATAGATAGATGCAGCTGCTAGAATACCCGTGTGGTTGCTAAGGTGTTACCATGTGGATGTTAGGGTACCCGGGTAGGTTGCTAAGGTGTTGCTATGCGGTTGCTAAGGTACTTGGGTTGGTTGCTAGGTTGGTTTGGATAGTTGCTAGAGTGTTGCTATGAAGATAGATAGATAGATAGATAGGTAGATAGATAGATAGATAGATAGATAGATAGATAGAGATAGATAGATAGATAGATAGATAGATAGATAGAGATAGATAGATAGATAGATAGATAGATAGATAGAGATAGATAGATAGATAGATAGATAGATAGATAGAGATAGATAGATAGATAGATAGATAGATAGATAGAGATAGATAGATAGATAGATAGATAGATAGATAGAGATAGATAGATAGATAGATAGATAGATAGATAGAGATAGATAGATAGATAGATAGATAGATAGATAGAGATAGATAGATAGATAGATAGATAGATAGATAGATGCAACTGCTAGAATAGCCGTGTGGTTGCTAAGGTGTTGCTTTTCGGTTGCAAGTGTACTTGGGGTGGTTACTGGAGCGGTTGCTAGGGTACCCGGGGTGGTTGCTAGGGTGTTGCTATGTGGTTGTTATGGTACCCGGGGTGGTTGCTATTTTGTTACTATGCAGTTGCTAAGGTAGTCGGTATGGTTGCTAGAGTGTTGCTATGCATTTGCTAGGGTACCCGGGGTTGTTGCTAAGGTGTTGCTATGTGGATGCTAGGGTGGTTGCTAAGGTGTTCTTATGCGGTTGCTAAGGTACTTGGGGTGGTTGCTAGGTTAGTTCGGATAGTTGCTTGAGTGTTGCTATGGAGGTAGCTAGATAGATAGATAGATAGATTTATAGATGCAACTGCTAGAATAGCCGTGTGGTTGCTAAGGTGTTGCTATTCGGTTGCAAGTGTACTTGGGGTGGTTACTGGAGCGGTTGCTAGGGTACCCGGGGTGGTTGCTAGGGTGTTGCTATGTGGTTGTTATGGTACCCGGGGTGGTTGCTATTTTGTTACTATGCAGTTGCTAAGGTAGTCGGTATGGTTGCTAGAGTGTTGCTATGCATGTGCTAGGGTACCCGGGGTTGTTGCTAAGGTGTTGCTATGTGGATGCTAGGGTGGTTGCTAAGGTGTTCTTATGCGGTTGCTAAGGTACTTGGGGTGGTTGCTAGGTTAGTTCGGATAGTTGCTTGAGTGTTGCTATGGAGATAGATAGATAGATAGATAGATAGATAGATAGATAGATAGATAGATAGACAGATCATAGATAGATAGATAGATAGATAGATAGATAGAAATAGTCAGATGATATAGGTACCCGGGGTGGTTGCTAGGGTGTTGCTATGTGGTTGTTATGGTACCCGGGGTGGTTGCTATTTTGTTACTATGCAGTTGCTAAGGTAGTCGGTATGGTTGCTAGAGTGTTGCTATGCATGTGCTAGGGTACCCGGGGTTGTTGCTAAGGTGTTGCTATGTGGATGCTAGGGTGGTTGCTAAGGTGTTCTTATGCGGTTGCTAAGGTACTTGGGGTGGTTGCTAGGTTGGTTCGGATAGTTGCTTGAGTGTTGCTATGGAGATAGCTAGATAGATAGATAGATAGATAGACAGATTATAGATAGATAGATAAGATAGATAGATAGAAATAGTCAGATGATAGATAGATAGATAGATAGATAGATAGATAGATAGATAGATAGATAGATAGATAGATAGATAGATAGATAGATAGATAGATAGATAGATAGATAGATAGATAGATAGATAGATAGATTTATAGATGCAACTGCTAGAATAGCCGTGCGGTTGCTAAGGTGTTGCTATTCGGTTGCAAGTGTACTTGGGGTGGTTACTGGAGCGGTTGCTAGGGTACCCAGGATTGGTTGCTAGGGTTTTGCTATGTGGTTGCTAGGGTACCCAGGGAGGTTGCTAAGCGGATGATATGTGGTTGCTAAGGTACCCGGGTGGTTGCTAGGGTGTTGCTTTGTGGTTGCTATGGTACCCGAGGTGGTTGCTAGGGTGTTGCTATGTATTTGCTAGGTTACCCGGGGGTTGTTGCTAAGGTGTTGCTATGTGGATGCTAGGGTTCCCGGGGCGGTTGCTAAGGTGTTGCTATGCGGTTGCTAAGGTACTTGGGGTGGTTGCTAGGTTGGTTTGGATAGTTGCTATAGTGTTGCTATGAAGATAGATAGATAGATAGATAGATAGATAGATAGATAGATAGATAGATAGATAGATACATCTGCTAGAATAGCCGTGTGGATGCTAAGGTGTTGTTATTCGGTTGCAAGTGTACTTGGGGTGGTTACTGGAGCGGTTGCTAGGGTACCCAGGATTGGTTGCTAGGGTTTTGCTATGGGTTTGCTAGGGTACCCAAGGAGGTTGCTAAGCGGATGACATGTGGTTGCTAAGGTACCCGGGGTGGTTGCTAGGGTGTTGCCATGTGGTTGCTATGGTACCCGGGGTGGTTGCTAGGGTGTTGCTTTGCATTTGCTAGGTTACCCGGGGTTGTTGCTAAGGTGTTCTTATTCGGTTGCTAAGGTACTTGGGGTGGTTGCTAGGTTGTTTGGATAGTTGCTAGAGTGTTGCTATGAAGATAGATAGATAGATGGATAGATATAGTCAGATGAAAGATATATAGATAGATAGATAGATAGATGGATAGAAATAGTCAGATGAAAGATAGATAGATAGATAGATAGATAGATAGATAGATAGATGCAACTGCTAGAATAGCCGTGTGGTTGCTAAGGTGTTGCTATTCGGTTGCAAGTGTACTTTGGGTGGTTACTGGAGCGGTTGCTAGGGTACCCAGGATTGATTGCTAGGGTTTTGCTATGTGGTTGCTAGGGTACCCAGGGAGGTTGCTAAGCGGATGCTATGTTGTTGCTAAGGTACCCAGGTGGTTGCTAGGGTGTTGCTATGTGGTTGCTATGGTACCCGGGGTGGTTGCTAGGGTGTTGCTTTGCGGTTGCTAAGGTACCCGGGGCGGTTGCTAAGGTGTTACTATGCAGTTGCTAAGGTAGTCGGTATGGTTGCTAGGGTGTTGCTATGCATTTGCTAGGGTACCCAGGGTTGTTGCTAAGGTGTTGCTATGTGGATGCTAGGGTTCCCGGGGTGGGTGCTAAGGTGTTCTTATGCGGTTGCTAAGGTACTTGGGGTGGTTGCTAGGTTGGTTCGGATAGTTGCTTGATTGTTGCTATGGAGATAGATATATAGATAGATAGATAGATGCAGCTGCTAGAATACCCGTGTGGTTGCTAAGGTGTTGCCATGTGGATGTTACCGGGGCGGTTGCTTAGGTGTTGCTATGCGGTTGCTAAGGTACTTGGGGTGGTTGCTAGGTTGGTTTGGCTAGTTGCTAGAGTGTTGCTATGAAGATAGATAGATAGATAGATAGATAGATAGATAGATAGATAGATAGATAGATAGATAGATAGATAGATAGTCAGATTATAGATAGCTGGATGGATGATGGATGGATGGATGGATGGATAGATTGATAAATAGCTTTAACAGAGTTGGCTAGCTGGATGCAAAATAACTCATGCCTTTTATTTTTTTCCCTGTTTGGTATTTCAAAGTCCTGTCACTGAAGCGTTGTGGGCAACAACACAGAAGGTAACCGAAACAATGCGGTTTAACTCAAGGGGTACAAGCACAATGGTTTGTGTAGATGATGCAGTTACACAATGGACGTGTTTCTTCTAAAGTAAATTATGAGTCCTTATGTGAGTGCTATTATATGCACAATATGAAAATAAATAAGTAATAAAGTGTCCCTTGCACGTACATTCAGCTATGTGTGATAACTTGAGAAAATATATTGACAATACCATTAAAATTCAGATAAAAAATAATGGTCTATCAGTATTTAGGAGATTACAGTTTTGCATACTTACTATATTGGACCTTATTAAAGGTTATGAAAATATAATGAATTTATATGCATTTTTTAATTTAGTCTTTTAGTCTTTATTTAGCCTTTGAACAGATCTTGAAGGCTTTGCTATCCTGTGGCTCCCTCGTGTGGACAACATTAGCATTATG